CAAGAAAATGTGGGCTACGTAGGTGGCTCCAAATCATTAGTTTAGCTAGCAGAACCTTTATTACTGGTGATGATATGTAAGAAAGAAAAAACCCAGGTTGTCTGTCAGAGTTAAGGCTGAGTTTCTAGGGTTGTTAGTTAGAGAAAACATCTATTTACTTGTAGCCTGAGCACATTTGCTTGGGAAATCACGGTGAGACAATAAACATGGACCCCTAGAATGCAATTTTTAATGGGTAAAATTTTCAAAAGCACCTTCGTGGCTTAGGAGCCTAAATCCCATTGACTTTCAATGAGATTTAGGTTCCTAAGTGCCTATGTCACTTTGAAAATGGAGTTTAGGCTCCTAAGTCCTCTAGGTACTTTTGGAAAAATGTACCCAAAATCAGCTTTCAAAGTAGAACTGGACTTTCATGTTTTTAACAAATTGTAATATTGTAAGAAAAACATGATGGGATGGCATAGGGCAGCAAAGACCTTGGGATAGCCGGTGTTCCCTTCAAAACTGTTATGTTCTGGGTGGAAATGTTGGGCCTTAGCATCCCCTCTGCTTTTTCCTTATTGAATTTGGAGAATTGGGAGATCATGGTCTCTATTTTGCACTGAACTGTCAAAATCTTTAAAGCCACTTTATCATGCTTCAAGTTACTCATCAAAACTCACCTCTGCTGTAATTCATACACGAAACTGCAGTCTGATAATGACCAGGAAGGTGAAGAGCTAGATATACTGCTCCTGAGTGGCGAAGAACTGCTCACATTCTATTATTTTTGTTACCACTAACCCCAACTCCCACTCTTCATGATGGCTTGTTTGTTTGTCTTATCTACCTGTTATGACTTGCCTTTTAGGTTGCAAGCTCTTTGGAGCAAGGTTTGTCCGTGTATATTTGTACAGCACCTAGTAGAATGAGCCCCTGTCCTGGCTGGTCTAGAGGTATTGCCACACTATAAATGTTAAATAATTGTACTGTCTTCATATTAAACAGTATATACCATTTATACTGACTGCCCCGATTTTGAAAGTTTGCCCTGATTCTCTGGTATCTGAATAAGAAGTAATATAATGCATGGTTGAGAGTGGTGGGGAGGCTTTCCTTTCTTGTTTTTCTGAAAGGAGAGTGTGGGCAGCTTATAAAAAGACCACTGCACACTGCAGACACCAAAATACATTTTCTCACAACAGTTTCTTCTACCAGCTTATTCTTGGAACACCTTTGTGATGCTGTCAGCTATGGTGATGTAGCAACTCTGTTTACAAATTAATATTGCCGTAATGCATTTATCTTTAATTACAAGAGAATACCCTTCTAGGATATTTCCTAACAATACTCATTAAGAATAAACAGATGAAGTCCTTACCAGTTAATCAACACCACAGACTTCTTAGTGTTCTGAAAACTACATGAAATAACACTGTCACCTAATAAGAGTGCTTGAAAGCATTAGGGAATCCACAGTGCTTTTTGGCTGGTGAAAAGGTAATGATTGTTTAGAGATGGGCTGGAGGAGCTGCAGACTTTCAGATGCACACTTCCCCAGGTTTAGGGTTATTCCAATCTGGGGTTTGGGTTGGGTCCATCTCTAGTCAGGATTTTAAATGTATAATAGGGGGGACAGCTTTGAAGCACATTGTGTAGAACTGACAAACCCATTGGTGCCAATGTAAGTGTTTTATAGTCCTTGAGTGGGAAGTGCTTTAGAAATGCAAAACATTTGTGTAAACCATGAGATGGGTCCATTCATGAACTTTGTTGAAAATAAAATAAGAAGATAAGTGGGATAGAATAAAAAAGAACAAATCAAACATTAGAATGTATTTATTCATATCTATCAGGCTTTCAAGAATAGATTGGCAAGAATTTATTAGTGATGGATTGCAGCTTGAAGTGATAGTGCAGCAATTGTCTAGTCAATTCTCATCTTTGGTCTTTATTTGGTAACAGCACCAGAATTGCAAGTGTTTTGTTACAAATGGGCCAACATAAACCTGTTCCATAGTAGCATTAAACATAGTTGTAATAATAGTATGATGATGTTAACATGTTAAGTTTTGAAAGCATTTTTTACATGAAATACACATCGAGGGTTAGGAGGGACTGTTGCCTCTGGAGGCCTAAATTCAAATTCTGTTTTGGCTCATGACTGAAAATGAATTAGCTGGTCTCATCCTAGTCCACACACACTTGTATCAAATCACCAAACCCAGCCTGCTCATGAGATTTCTAGCCTAGAAAACCAGGAATAGTGCCACTCAGGACTGATGCTTATTGGCAGGATTGTATGGAGAAACTTGCGCAAGCCCTGCCTGTATTTTCATCAGTACAAATTCACATACAGTTTTTAAAAAAATCTCCCATTTGGATGACACCAACTGAACTGTGGTGATTAACTCCTAAGACATATCCTTATTATCCTTATTGAACCTCATCAGATTTCTTTTGGCCCAATCCTCCAATTTGTCTAGGTCCTTCTGTATCCTATCCCTCCCCTCCAGCGTATCTACCACTCCTCCCAGTTTAGTATCATCCGCAAATTTGCTGAGAGTGCAATCCACACCATCCTCCAGATCATTTATGAAGATATTGAACAAAACCGGCCCCAGGACCGACCCTTGGGGCACTCCACTTGATACCGGCTGCCAACTAGACATGGAGCCATTGATCACTACCCGTTGAGCCCGACAATCTAGCCAGCTTTCTACCCACCTTGTAGTGCATTCATCCAGCCCATACTTCCTTAACTTGCTGACAAGAATACTGTGGGAGACCGTGTCAAAAGCTTTGCTAAAGTCAAGAAACAATACATCCATTGCTTTCCCTTCATCCACAGAACCAGTAATCTCATCATAGAAGGCGATTAGATTAGTCAGGCATGACCTTCCCTTGGTGAATCCATGCTGGCTGTTCCTGATCACTTTCCTCTCATGCAAGTGCTTCAGGATTGATTCTTTGAGGACCTGCTCCATGATTTTTCCAGGGACTGAAGTGAGGCTGACTGGCCTGTAGTTCCCAGGATCCTCCTTCTTCCCTTTTTTAAAGATTGGCACTACATTAGCCTTTTTCCAGTCATCCGGGACTTCCCCGGTTCGCCACGAGTTTTCAAAGATAATGGCCAATGGCTCTGCAATCACAGCCGCCAGTTCCTTCAGCACTCTCGGATGCAGCTCGTCCGGCCCCATGGACTTGTGCACGTCCAGCTTTTCTAAAAAGTCCCTAACCACCTCTATCTCCACAGAGGGCTGGCCATCTCTTCCCCATTTTGTGATGCCCAGCGTAGCAGTCTGGGAGCTGACCTTGTTAGTGAAAACAGAGGCAAAAAAAGCATTGAGTACATTAGCTTTTTCCACATCCTCTGTCACTAGTTTGCCTCCCTCATTCAGTAAGGGGCCCACACATTCCTTGGCTTTCTTCTTGTTGCCAACATACCTGAAGAAACCCTTCTTGTTACTCTTGACATCTCTGGCTAGCTGCAGCTCCAGGTGCGATTTGGCCCTCCTGATAACATTCCTACATGCCCGAGCAATATTTTTATACTCTTCCCTGGTCATATGTCCAACCTTCCACTTCTTGTCTAAGACATTCCACTATCCACAATAAGGATAAGTGCAGGGTCCTGCACTTAGGACGGAAGAACCCAATGCACAGCTACAGACTAGGGACCGAATGGCTAGGCAGCAGTTCTGCGGAAAAGGACCTAGGGGTGACAGTGGACGAGAAGCTGGATATGAGTCAGCAGTGTGCCCTTGTTGCCAAGAAGGCCAATGGCATTTTGGGATGTATAAGTAGGGGCATAGCGAGCAGATCGAGGGACGTGATCGTTCCCCTCTATTCGACATTGGTGAGGCCTCATCTGGAGTACTGTGTCCAGTTTTGGGCCCCACACTTCAAGAAGGATGTGGATAAATTGGAGAGAGTCCAGCGAAGGGCAACAAAAATGATTAGGGGTCTGGAACATATGAGTTATGAGGAGAGGCTGAGGGAGCTGGGATTGTTTAGCCTGCAGAAGAGAAGAATGAGGGGGGATTTGATAGCTGTTTTCAACTACCTGAAAGGGGGTTCCAAAGAGGATGGCTCTAGACTGTTCTCAATGGTATCAGATGACAGAACGAGGAGTAATGGTCTCAAGTTACAGTGGGGGAGGTTTAGATTGGATATTAGGAAAAACGTTTTCACTATGAGGGTGGTGAAACACTGGAATGCGTTACCTAGGGAGGTGGTAGAATCTCCTTCCTTAGAGGTTTTTAAGGTCAGGCTTGACAAAGCCCTGGCTGGGATGATTTAACTGGGAATTGGTCCTGCTTTGAGCAGGGGGTTGGACTAGATGACCTTCTGGGGTCCCTTCCAACCCTTATATTCTATGATTCTATGATTCTATGACATATGAGTCGGACTTTTTAGTAGTGCTGAGCACCCACAGCTTCCATCACCTTTTGAAATCAGGCTATAGGTGTCCACAATTTGCTGTCACTTTTTCCAGTCAGACATCAGTGTGCAACACCTTAATGTTTTAAAATAATACTTTGTTTTATCTATGGTGTGGTGAGTTTTCATAAAATGAATTTTCAAATAGGTTTTCTAAGGGATGAACTCTTTATGGCAATAACTTCATTTGCATTAATAGTTACTATCTACTAAGTTAGCTGTGAATAACAATCTTTTATTAAATATTTTTATAATATGCTGTTTGTGGGCCGGCAGAAACAAGTGTAAATGATTTTTTTAAAAATAGCAATGTATAATGAAAAGTATTGTCTACATAATTTAGCAGTTCAATCAAATGACCTGTTTTTAAAAGAAGGCTTTTTCATTATTCTTATGATCATACATTTATTCTATAATGATGTTACTGTAATATATTGAATTGTTAAGTATTGCTCTGGGATAGTAACTTTAGATCTCTATGCAAGGGTCTTTATTTAATCAGATCTCACTAAAGGGGGATGCGTTCCATGATTATCATAATTCATCTATTCATCCTGCACTCCTTATCTTTTTTTCAGGATGGAGTAGGTGTAGATGAGAAGCTGTCTTTAAGGCGGGTAGCTGTGGTTGAAGATTTCTTTGACATTATCTATTCCATGCATGTGGAAACAGGGCCTAATGGAGAACAAATCCGAAAGCATGCTGGACAAAAGAGAACTTATAAAGCAGTAAGTAAACAAAAAACCAGAACATCTGTAAGTTAAAATATAGTAACACAATTGCATATCTATTTATTGTTTTTTTTAGATTGTGAGTTCTTTGGATTGGTGATTTTGTGGTTTTGATAGTTGAGCCAGAAGTATTACAGCCCATTACTTTCTGTGTGGGTACATGTGTGTGCATATATGCAAACATACAGGTTGAAAATGCTTAGGGTCAAATTTTCTACTGGTGTAATGGGTGCAAGTCTATTGACTTCAGTGGAGTTTTGCCCATTTGCACAAGCAGGGAATTTGGCTGTTTTAGTATGATTTGAAAGACAAGGCCTGTGAGGTAATATCTTTTATTGGACCAACTTCTGTTGGTGAGAGTGACAAGCTTTTGAGCTTGTCTTTTTAATCTCAAAAGCTTGTCTCTCTCGCCAACAGAAGTTGGTCCAATAGAAAATATTACCTCACTCACCGTGTCTCTCTAATATCCTGGGACCAACAAGGCTACAACTACACTGCATCCTAATATGATTTGATAATTTATTAAAATGAAGCTCCAAGTTAATAGTATTATTTTAAAATAATTATTAAATTGAAATGCAGATGTTTTTCCAGTTTATGAAGACTGTCAAAATACAACCATTAAGGTTTGTTAAATGAACTGCTGTATTTCAGCAGATGATTGAAATCTCCATTATACTTTGTTATTATAGAGTAAATACGTTTTATTTAATGGTCTGCAGATTTGTAATACTTTTCCTGAAAACAAAAAGTTGAAAAGCAAGTAGATTCAATGGCATATCTGTTGACTGGTCAGATGTTAAACCAGTATGAACTGGCTGACTAAAGAGAAAATTCTTTCTAACATTGGAACTGTGTTTTATAGTTTGACCTAGACGCTTCAATTCAACCCCGGTCTTGAAATATTTGTAATCTGATGTTTAACGGAGCAGTATCTTTCTGCAAATATGACATTTTCCCTTCTTAAAGAGAACTAATAAAATGTGTACTGTTACTTCCCAAGGTAAATAAAAAGTACTTCCTTGTCTGTAAATTAGTGACCTTAGTCCTATGAGTAGCCCCATTGGTTTTTATGGGGCTACTCATGTGAGAAAGGCAACCAAATTTATGCACACACATACACACATATTATGTATATATACCGTGTACACATCACACACACACACACACACACAATATTATAACAGCATTCAATAGTGTCTCCATCATAGTTAAGGATTTATCGCTTTTCTTCTTTCCTGGGACCATTATCCCAGTGGTTTCCAGCTGCAGTAAGTTGAAACTTTACGCACGTCAGCCTGGATGCAATCTTTAGAAACTAAAAAAAAAAAAAAAATGTAAATCATTTGAGCCATTCTTAATATAAGGAGCAATAAAATGTGTAAAAAGCTCAAAATGTCAGATACCTACGGCTGAAATTTAGTTACTGAGTATAAGAAATAGTTAATTTTCCATTACTGGTTTTTTCAGGTGATACTGAAACTTTCTAGCTGCATAATAATTTTTACTGTGTGGCCCATTCTTTTAAAAAATATTTTATTTCTAGGCTATTTCATAGTGTATGGTGTAGGCCAGGTCTGTGTAAGATTTCTCACAACTTGACCTCAGCATTATTGACCCACAAGATATATATCTATAAAGGATGACACTTGCAGTCATCATGACCAATTATGCTAAGTTACGCAGTGATCTTCTCATGTGGACAAAAAATAACTGTCTAAATAACTTTGTCACCATAGCCAGTTTTAAAGCTTAGTCTTCAGGGCCCTAATAGAAGTACTCTTAGCTTCATTGGTCATTAGCTGTGCATTAATAAAAGTAGTACTATCTTCACTGTCCACTAGCTAGGCATTGGTTTTGCTACTGTGTTCTACTGTAATGAACCTATCACTTGCACTCTTCATTTCAAAGGGATTTCATATAGTAATTATATTGAATGTTTACTGCCTGTAAATAAAGTACTTTAGGGCACAACCCTGCAAACATATATACACTACAGATATAATTCTACTGTCAGGAGTCCCATTGATTTCAATTGGATCAGGCCTTTTATATATTATGAATAATGTGCAAAGGCAGCTAATGGGAGCAATTTGTGTAGGTTAAGCAGCTTGTACAGCAGTTTCATTTGATGTTAATTTTTATTACAGTGGTGACATAAGTTTATTACATAGTTATCAGCTGATGATGCAGCAGCCCAAGTGCAAGTTGTTGTGTAATTATCAATGTTTGTGTATTAGTGTTATTTGTTGGTTTACAAAGTGCATCCAATTACATGTCCCAGGGACAAACTGCATATATATAATTTTTAAAAATACAATAATTCTATGAAAAAAGAAAAACTCCAAAACAAACTAACATCAGCTTTTGCACTCCACTTTTAAGTGAGACCTTAATTAGACTCTGCTGGACTAGCTGGGAAAGCATATTCCAGTGTCATGGACTCTCTTGAGCTTCTAGAGGATTAAATCTAAGGTCTGTTAGCTCAAGCAAACCAGCTGACTTCTGCCTCACAGAGTGGGAGGGAGTCTCTCAAGGAATCATGTCCCAAACCATTTAGGCCTTAGAGTTTTATAAATCCAAGTCAGTATGGCAGCTACTCCAAAAGTATTAGCTGAACCAAAACTGTGGTGATTTTCAGCCTCACATATCATCAGTGGGAATCATTCTTGATTTCTGTGAATGTATTCGTCATATGTATTCACCAAATTGTTTGGGTGAACAAATTTTTAGAGTATAGGTGGTTCATGAACTGTTTGCTACAATTATTTGGTATTTGATATTCACAATTCATGGCATGTGATTGGTCACTTGGTATCACTTCTGCTCCCTGATGGGATGATTGAAACTTTTTAACAAGGGAACGATGAAGAGAAAATTCCAAGTGTCAGCCCCTCTTCTGCAACTCTTGGGATTCATAAATATTTTCATGAATATCATCAGCTTCCTGAATACTTGTGAATAATGAATATTATGACCCCGCAAACAGCAGCTAATTAAATTCAAATAGCTTAGTAGTGAACCTGCTTTTTCATAATTCTATCAGCTCTAGTCAAAACTTAGAATATTGCCCAGGCATGATTAGTAAAGCAAAGAAACTGGCAAAGGTTGTAACTTATTGTATCTTAAATTAACTATGGCTTGTATTTATCTGGGCAAACAAGACTGGAAAATGTAAGAAAAGGCCTGAATCTGCACCTGGTTCCTGTTCTGAACAAAGTTTAAGACTGTTTTCAGTTTTGAAAGAGGACTCCCCTCCCATCCTGTTCCCGATGCTGAAGTGCTGGAATACATCAGTATGTCATGCTGCAAACTTGCCCAGCATACCATCCTGGCATAACTAGGCTCAGTTTGTGAACTGACCATCCTTAGTCTTCACCACAGGTATTAATTTTAAATTGCAAGGCATTGTGGAAATGAATGGCACTTGTACAGTTTCAGTGGGACTTTACATAATGATGCTGCACAGGAAGATAACTATGCAATTTGGTGGTTCTGTGATAATAGTATTTTGGAGGGAGCTGCAGTACATTTTCATCAGCTGAAAAGTGTGTCAAACTCAAACTGCAGGATTCCTCAGCACAGAGTCCATTAATTGCTTAGGAAACTATCTGTGTTATAGTATGTAGTTATATACTAAGCTCACATTCTCTCCTTCTACCTTGACTCCAAGTACCCTGCAAGCATCATACAAACTGTATCATGCAGAGCCAAGACTTTTTCCCTTAGGGCTCAGTATATTAATCTTAACCATGGAAAAATGCCAGTAAGTTGCTAATTGGGCTAACAAAAGCAAGTACATTCTTTTTTATTCTTCTTACTGACTACCCTGCTACATGTAGGTGTCCTAGTTCATATGGTATGTAAGACCACCTACAGACTGACACTATTAGATTACACTATTACACGTCTATGAACCAAATTCTTTGCTGATGTAACTCTGTTAATGTTAGCGGAGTTGCGCAAGCAGAGAATTCGGCCCTCTATGCATTGCAGTGAAACAAGAATTGTCTTGCTTTTGGGGTTTTAAATCACAGCTATAACATTTTAAAACAGATTTTTGCAAGTATTGTAGCAGACTAGAGAAACAATGTATATAGTGATTATTAGTTAGTTCCAGAACTGCCTGTGATGTTTACAGACATTAAAAAACAAGGTCCTTGTCCTGATGAAATCACATTAGCATATAGACAGTGTAGGGCAGTAAAGTAATTAATCCACAAATAATGCTCATGGTGCTTATGCCTTGCTGTTCCACAGGCACACAAGTGTTTAGGGGAAGGGAGAAGAGTGCAAGGAGCCTATTCCTTGGCGTACAGGCTGCACCCTGTCAGGTGCAAGGCTCCAAAATGCCTGTTTGAGGCGGGCAGCTGTGGGACACACTGGCTAGCACAGCTGGTGGAGCAAGCAGGGAAAAGTATGCTGTGCTCCCTGAAGGGGTGTATCAGCCAGCATAATCCTCATGCACAGCTGGGAGCTCCAGGAAGAATTTCTCTTTCCTTGAGACAGAATTCCCCCTGGAGCTTCACCTATAGTATTGGGGCTTAAAGGTACAACTGAGCCCACATTGTGTATAGATCTCAAACCATGGGAAGAATATTGCAGTGGCAAAATGGGGGAGGGGTGAGATGGGAGGGAAATGCTATTGAGAGAACAGATTCAATATTTTTTGGCGGGGGGAGGGGAATTGATTTGTTTTTAAAGTTTGTTTAATCCTGTATTCTGGACACAGTTCTTCCAAAGCACAAAATTTACTAATATCTCCCTGCCTGGAAGCCTGCATGACTTAGTGGGAAGAACACAAGGATTCTGTTTTTTTCTGGGAAATCAGTGTAAGCAAAATTCATGTGATGTTCTCAGCCGAATTCTTGTGGGGAAACACATCCATGTTCTGTTGTGGGTGGGAATGGGGTGCTGTTTGCATAGGCTTCGGACTGCTCAGTTTTTGGGCCTGTAAGCAGGTAGACTATCTCACCAGCCCAGGAAAGAACCAGTGC